CTCGCCAAGTTGCCCAGGCGGGTCTCGAACCCGCGGGCTCAGGCAATCCACTCACCTCAGCCTCCCAAAGCACGGGATTACAGGCTGAGCCACCGAGCCCGGCTATCATTTTAATGATTAAGCATGTTGACCTTGCATCTAGGTTGAATCCTGGCTCTGCCACTTAAGCAGGTCACTTGAGTGTGCCTCGTTTTCCTCATACCAATCTCACATGGTTTTAGAAAGACTAAATGAATTAATATTTTAAAGTGTCTTAGAGGAAGCATCATGCTGTTTGTTAAATTAAAATGCTTGGAGTTATAAAAACAAACAAAAGCCAGCACATTTTCAGTGGACAGTGACAGAGTATATACTAAGAAGTAGCAATAAGGACAGGTAAGTATGGTGGGGCCAAATTTGAACTGACAAAATAGTTTGGCTTTAATCTTGTAGGTGATGAGATTAAATTGGGGGGGGTGAGATGGGGATAGGGAATGAAGTTGCAAAGGTATTATTTTAGGAAGTAACACAGGAAGTAGTTTTTATTGGGTGAAAATGATTTCTTACCCATTAAGCAAAGAAGATAAGTGTTCACAAATGCAGCAATGGATGACATTTTATTTAGAACTGCTTTGGGGAATAAATATTGAAAATCTCAATTCCAGAGTAAGGTAAAATTTATATTATTTAATATTTTAAAAATCCTACAGACAATGTTTATTGATATTTCTAAAAACCAATAATAAACATAGATTGATTAAATGCAAAGTGAATTATATCTGTTGATAAAAAAGACTTTGGAAAACGCTGTCAAATTAATGATAATCAAGTGTCTATGAAAACAACTGCATGTATTCAAAAGACAGTCATTTAATAATGCACAATTAACACAAAAGGCATTGAACAGTACATTCAGTTTTTTTTGCAGTAGATGAAAAGTGGTACTTTTCCTGTCTTTTTAATTAAAAATTACATATATTTTTTATAAAAGCAATATATACTTATTGAACTAACTCCAAAAATATAAGTGGAAGTTCTCCCAAATCTCACCCACAGAGGTAACACACACTTGTTATTAGGGCAAGGAGCCCCTTTTGAGATTTCACATTTCCAAAAGTCAAAGTTTCTTCTTTACGAAGGTAGACTCATTGACAAGTGTTTGTGAGAAACATACGTCTAAATGATCTTATGCGGGTATAGTGTCTATATCTCTCAGAAAGTTAGCTTTAATTCTAGCTGTGAGTTGGCAAAGCCTCTTTCTACTATAAATTTAATGGTTACTTCCCATTTTTTTATGGCCATTCTTCTGTACATAAAGATCATCAGGGCATTAACCTCAAATATGGAGGAAAATGATTCAGCAAACTGTTATCTAGACATCAGACAAAAACCGAAATACTGTGCAGTGATGGTTGACACAGTACAATGATAATTGGCATTCATAATGATGATCTTGGATTAGCTAACTAAGATTAAATCTTTATCTGGATGGTTTTAATGTTGAATAGTATAATCTAAAGTGTTGGAAATGGGTAACCCACATATATAATAAAGGGGTTAGGGGTTAGGGGCTGGATGTGGTGGCTCATGCTTGCCTATAATCCCAGCACTTGGTGGGGGGGGGTAGCTTGAGTCCAGGAGTTGGAGACCAGCCTGGACAACATAGCAAGAGGCCGTTTCCACACACACACACAAATTTAGATTAAAAAGATTCTCTATAAATACGTGGGCGCCAAAAATATGTATACACATTTTAGGAGATGTTATCTATATTACTTTTCAAAGTTGAATTACAGTAGCAGTGTGTAGTATGACATTTGCTCTAAAGATGGTGTTACTCTTGTTATTGGTATATATTGCATATTACAATTTTAATACAGTTTTTTTCCTTTTTTAAAATGTGTACATTTTGTGACACCCTCTGTATATCTGCTAACTCAGCTAATAAGCTTATTAACTAGAAGACCCTGTTTTGAGTAACTTGAACGTGGTTGAGTAGTTACATTCCACTTTTCTCTCATATATCAGATGCACTGAATTGTTTTTTCTCTTAGTGGGCAGGACTTCAGTCATGTTTATCTTTTCCTGCAGCTCAGCCTCACATACAAATAAGATGGCAACTCAGTGTGCTGCTTGAATCCCTCACCTTGATGGCATTAACAATAACTCATGTGTCAGTGCTATTGGCATATGCCAATGTTACCTTGGCCTGTGAAATATGTGGAGGGAGAGGCAGAGCCTTAAACACAAACAAAAGAATGTACTTTATTGTATGTAAATTGTACCCTAAGTAAAAATGATTCAAAACAAATTCTGAACCCGCAAATCACTTTCGGGAGAGGGAATACTGGTCTTGACCAAGATGTGTGATGATAAGTAAGCTTTCGGTAGCTGCCCCCTAACACCGTAAGGAAGTTGTGTTCATTTATCATCTTCCAAGCATAATCTAGGCTTCTGGCAAATTAGACCCAACCACTTTGTTCTACATTCAGTTGCAGGGGGGTGAACCCTCCTGGGGATTCCCAGGTCCCTTTGAAACCCCACCATTTTGGAAGAACTTACAGTTATATGGAGGACTCAGTAGTGCAAGGCACTGTGCAGTCTATGCCATGTCCCAAGATCCCTCCACTCGGGCTTCTAATGGTTAGCACCAGAAACAAAGTCCCCCTTTGCTGGCACTGCCACCACTAGCTTCCCCCCTTCTCCTACCCTCTGCATGGCCCTCTCCCGCGGCGGGCCTTCCCTATTGGCCAGCCAAACACAACCGACTGCGGCAGCCAATGGGAACCGCTCTCCTGAACATTCAGAGGATGGGTGCTCGTGGTGTGATGAGGGGAGGTTGGCGCCTGGCACGCGCCCCCTACATCTGGCAAATCTGTGACAGAAACAGTAACACCCACTACACACACATTCTCGCGCCCCCTGGCTTCCTCCTCTCAGCTGCGCGCACCCCCCCCCCCCAACCCACTGCGTGTCTTGGCAGCACCCTCCCCAGCTGCTTGGGGCCCGCGAGTGCACCTGCTTCCTCAAGACAGAGCATCCCTTTATCCCATGCTGGGGTGGAGGGACCAAGGAGGCGCGGCTCAGCTGCCCGCTGCTACCGAGGTGAAAGAGGTGTCTCTGCCTCCCACCGTACCCCCGCTGAGTTGTGTTGCTCCGAGGCCGAAGTAATCTAGTGATGCCTTAGGGTGCAGCTCTCTTTGTCCTCCCCGGCTGTGATCCCTCTCCACTGTCCCCGTGCGCTCCGAGCAAGTGTGTGTGTGTGTGGGGGGGGGCGAAATCTATAACTTAAATGGAGGCAAGGAGAAATAAGGCTATTCCGGGGTGGTGCGTGCCGCTCTCTCCACCCACTCCTTTCCTCCTTAGGTTTCCTCCCTCCGTTGTGTCCCTGGAGTCCAGGTAGGGGAAAGTCTAGGCTAAGGCGCGGCGGCGGCTGGAGGATCACAGTCACGCCCCGAGCGTCGGTCCGAGTGCGCACACAGGCAGAAGAAGGCTCGCGGCTTGCCCAGTCTCCTCCATCTCGCCTCCTCTCCTTGGCTTTTGTGTCGGTGCCTCGGAGCTGCAGGGAGGGTGCGCTGAAGGGGGGGGTGCTGGGGTGAGAGGCACCCCCTTCACGCGCGCGCACACTTTGCCGGTGCGCGCACACGCGGGCGGACACACACAGACACGCACAAAGCTCGCTCGCCTCCAGCGCACTAACGTGGCTGTTTTCTTTGTGTGGAGCCCTTGAAGGGGTTGGGGCCCCGGTCCGGTCCGGGGGAGATGGCGCAGCCCATCCTGGGCCATGGGAGCCTGCAGCCTGCCTCGGCGGCTGGCCTGGCATCTCTGGAGCTCGACTCATCGCTGGACCAGTACGTGCAGATTCGCATCTTCAAGATCATCGTGATTGGGGACTCCAACGTGGGCAAGACCTGCCTGACCTTCCGCTTCTGCGGGGGTACGTTCCCAGATAAGACTGAAGCCACCATTGGCGTGGACTTCAGGGAGAAGACCGTGGAAATCGAGGGCGAGAAGATCAAGGTGATCCAGACGGTCAGGTTCGGGAAGGGAGGAACCTGGGAGGGAGCCTCGCCCGAGGCATGGCTCTAGTGGGTGGAATCGTCCAGCGCGTGGCTGTGTTGCCATCGACTGAGCCCAAGACCCTCGGCACCTCCTCACCCCCTTTCGCCCCGCTTGGCGGCCCTATCCCCACCTCACCCAATTTCGGGGGGCTTGCAGGAATGGTTACATTCCTACTTTTTGCCCCTGCCTGACAGCTCCTGCCAGGAAAAGCATGTTTCATTTCATCCTTGACCCCTAGCTGGAGCAGCGGCACCTGTGGGCAGAGGGAGGCATGAGGCGTTTCTCTGTCCTAGTCTGCGGGATGGATCCCAAAGCACTTCACACATCTTCAGGTCTCGTCTACCGCTTGGGTACCAGTAGGCTGCAAAAACCCACTCTGGCTAAGTTCGGAGGCATTAGAAGGAAGGAAAGGATGGAAACCCATAGAACGAAAGTTACTTTATTTTAAATTGCAGTTTTTAGTTAATATTGGAGCTGAGTTGGGATGGGGGTGGAGTGGGGTGGTTCTGGCACAAAGCCATGAGCCCTTTTAAAGAAATTGAAGCAGGGCCACCTGCCGGCCCTTCATAATAGACAAAACTTGTTCCTTTGGAACAAGCCCCCTCAAGTGGTGTCTTCTTTACTCGTCTGGGGTACCTAATGAGTGAACTGCCTATTACTCAGTCTGTTAGTATTATTGTCTTAGGAGATCAGGGCAGGGCAACTTAAACGCAGGGCAACTTAACTGAAGACCAAGGAAAATGGCTTGCTCCTATCCCCACCCCCATTAGTTTATGAAATGGGCTAAGTACAGATGTTCTTGTCTGGCCATTTGTGCTCACTTTTAGTTCAGAAAAGGATAGGACAGGAATATGTCAATGTGTAGGGGATGGTGGGAGGGAGGATATGGCAAGGGTAACTTAATGTGTTAAGGCAGTGGAGGCAGGATTATGGGGAGGGAAGCACCTAAAGCACTGGGGACACTGAAGACCCACTCCTCTAGACTCACATCTGGCTTTTTCTTGAGCCTGTGGCTGGACCCTAGACAGAGTCAGGGTGAAGGTAACCCTCCTCTTGCTGGTCAAACAGCCAGTGTGACCACAGTGCTCCTCTTCAGAGTGATGTGGAGAGAAGGGCTGAGTAACTGGAAAGACTGATGAAACACTCTAAACTGTGCAAGGCACTTGATTCCTTGATTATTAAAATGACCGTGTTTTAAAATGGCTTCAGAAACTGGGCTAAGGCACTGGATATCAGAAAGATGGACAGCTCAGTGCTGATAAGGGAGAGCCCCAAGGTCAGGAAAATAGAGCATTATTTTGAAATTGGGAATTTTTTGCTGTTTGCATTTTTTTTTAAAGAGGTGAGGTCTCACTATGTTGCCTACGCTGATCTTGAACTCCTGGGCTCAAGCAATCCTCCCACCTGGGCCTTCCAAAGTGCTGGCGTGCGCTACTGTGCCCAGCCAGCCCCTTGCATCTTGGAGGGGCAATTGCTACATTTCCTTTTAAAGTCAAGTAGGAACCTGTCTCCTATCCTTCCTAGGGCTCTTACATAGACATTTGCTTGGTTAAGACTTCCTCTAGTGTGTCTAGCTTCTTTAATGTAAGGCTGTACAATTCTGAAATTTCTAAAACATGCCTTTTTTAATCCAAAGTAGAAATATATTTGTGGATGGGTTCTTAAACCCATAGTTTAATGCTACCATTTGTTTAAAATCAAGTGTTCTGGTGAGTCAATGAGTTCCCTGGATTTAAAATGGGGGAAATATGTCCATCTGGCCTTTAGATGGAGGAAAAAGGAAGTATTTGGGAGTTTAGAGAATGAGGGAGGAGGAAACCAGAAAGTGAGGAATAAGAGGTGAAAATGAGTGGAAGAGTCCCCACCAATGGCCTTGGGAGAATTTTAAAAACATTCCTTCTCTTCTGTTACCCCTGTACTTAGCCAACTGGATTTTACAGTCCCTGCCAAAGATTCCAGACTTTTTCCCAGAGGGCAGAGCCTATGACAGTGTGACTCACTAGAAACAGAGCTCAGCACAACACCATGTGCAGATAAGTGCTTAATACAGGCTTTTTTGGGAAGACGATATTTTCAAGAGGACAAAGCCTTGTGACACCGCTCATGGAGGAGCTCTCTGAGGGCAGATTCAGAAAGAACTCAGAGTATGGGCATGGGGAGAGGGGTGACCCTACCTCTTGTAAAGCTGCTGCAATCTCAGGGCCAAAGCCAGCAGACGAGAGACCAGCATGTCCGTGGGAAGATGGCAGAGCCTGGCAGCTAGCACATGATCCAGATAGGAGACGATTTGGCCCCACACTCTGCCTGGCCTGAAGTTTCTTAAGGAACAAGTGCCAAAGCCACACTAGGAGGTGACTGCCAAGGGCTTCCCCCTTTGGGAGAGAGAGAAAAGTCCAGTGTGACAGGCCGAGGTAGCCCTAGACCACAGCCAACAATAGAGGCAGTTGGGATATAAAATACCAACCCTCATAAGAGAGTGATAGAGTGGTCTCAGTCAGCTCTTCTCAGCCCGAGTAGGGTGTGACCTCTTCTGGGCTGCCTCCCTGTGTCCCAGGGGGCACATACATCAACTTCTGCTGGGGGATGACTGATTTGGTGTAGTTGAGGCCACACTCTTAATTATCAGGGCCATCCCTAGGGGACAAGAGCCAATTTGGTTACTCCAATCACTATGTCCCCACCCCCAACCCATCACAACATTAACAATCCAGTGTTTCCTGGTTAATATGAACATCAAGAAAAGCCTCCAATGAGTAGATAATAATAATAAAAACTTCTAATTATTGGATAAACAAAGAGCCTAGGCTAGGTACTTTACATATATTATCTTATTTTGATCCTCACAGCAGCCCTATGAAAACAGTACTACTGTTATTCCCATTTTACCAATAAGGAGACTGAGGTCAAGAGAGATGAAATAACTTGCCCCATGGTGCCTAGATCTGAACTTCAGTCTTTGACTCGAGCCCAAGCACTTTGCCATCTCACTATCCTGTCTTTCCTGTGACAGGGCCACCATTCCAACTCACATTGAGAGCACATGCTCCAGACCACGGCACTACACTCTAGGGGACAATATCCAGCCCCCTAGATTGGGGGAGTGTATACAGGGGCAGATAGAATGCCAGGCAGTCTGTCTTGCCATCTCTTCTAGGCTAGGGACCCAGAGTTATAGCCCGAGGATCCAGGAGCCTTTAAGATGTCTTCTTCAGGACACACTGAACCCACCTGGGGTTTACTTTTTGCACCTTGACTATCTTACCTTGGGTGAGAGAATCTGCGAATGTTTTGAGATAGAAGAAACCTTAGAGATTCTCCAACCCAACATCCCCCATTACAGACAGGAAACTGAGGCTCAGAGAGGGAAAGTGACTTGCTCAAGATCACACAGGGCCAGGTCTAGGACTCAGATCTCCTAATTCCCTTTCCAATGCTCTTGCCACGCATCTCACTGCCGGGCTTGGCAGAGAACATAAACCCCCCAGGCCAGCTCCATGGTCTATCTAGCTCACAAGGTTTCCTGTGACAGGGACATGAAGGGACATCATAAAAGAAAGCTGACAGTCTATCCTGACATCAGCTTAAGAAGGGCGGAGGCATTCCCCATCCCCCAGAGAAAGGGTGGAGACTTCCCTTAATGACCAGTATGTGTCTGTCACCTACAGATTTAGCTAAATCTGTTGAGTCTGTCTCTTTCTAAAGGCACTAGAAAATGCCGAAGAGCAGGGTGTGGGGGGTAGGTAGTAGAAGGCAGCTCAGAAACTAATTTTCGATCCATTCTTTGTAAATTCTCATGGAAGCTGTCTTCCTGTCTAGGCTGGTTCCTCCCACAGACTAGGCACTACCTCTGCCCCAGCCCTTGGGACCAGACAAACTGTAGGTCTGCCGTAGCAGTGGTCAGGTGTGGTCCAGAACTGTGGATTTCTCTTCCTCTGCTGATCTCTGGGAAGAAACACTTTCCGTGTTACATTACCGAGTGGACAGAGGCTGAGCTAAGTGTTCCTCAGAAGCCGCCTGCAGTCAGAATGACATCATGTCTTCCTTAGGGCTTCTGAGCTCCATCTTCTGCCAGTTAGCTTAATGGTTAATTATCTGTCGGTGTGTGTTTCTGTGTCTCCCTTGCTGCCTCTCTTTCTGTGCAGAAGTTTCTCTTTGTCTCTGTCCTCCTTTGCCATTCTCTGTGTCAGCTTTGTGTGGATATTTCAGATGCAGATGGGACAGTCCAGCTAGTTGAAAACAGGTTTCTTTTAAACTGTTCCCATGATCCACACGGGCATGCCCCAAAGGTTACAGATGTATGTGTCTCTCTTTTTGCACACCTACCCTCCCCCACAGACCTCCAACAAAAGGGCATTCATGTCTCATCTATAGAAAGATGCCAGATACGTTCCCTAGGGAAAAGAAATACCCCTGACAGCTAAGAGCACGTGTGAGGGGTGGGGGCTTGCTGAAGCTTGCTCAGGGAGGGATTGCCCCAGGAAAGTGGTTCAAAAGGCTAGATTTCTCTCTGGCAGCTCCTCACACTGTACCCCTTCACCCTCCTCCAACACCCCATCAATTTGGGCCTGCCCCCAGCCACCTGTGGCAGGTTGCATTTCTCGCTCCTTCCCCTTCCCACTGAACGGCCCTTGCTTTGGCTGTGTCTCACCTTCAAAATCCCGAGCTTTCTGTGCTTTCCAGGATGAGAACCAAGGGATCTGAGAAACCATACTAACAGCAGAGGGCTGGACGGCTTTCTGAGACGATAGCAACACTAATGTTTCCAGAACACTTGACATGTTGTAAAAGCCCTTTCTCATGTGTTATTTCATTGGTTTATCCTGACAACCATGGGAGGACCAGGTTCCTGTTATAGAGATGTGAGGCTCAGCTCAGGAAGGTTAAAGGGCTTGCCTAGTCATTGACTCAGCTACTAAGCAGAGGAGCTAGGATACTGCCTTTCATCTTCCAGACTTAATGGTGGAGGTTTCAGACCAGGGAGGAGGGGAGAGTGTACATTAGGCACTGTGTGGCCTCAGGCGATCCTTTTACCTCAGGCTCTTGAGTAGCTGGGAGTATAGTTACGTGCCACCACCAGCTAATTTTTTGTAGAGATGAGAGCTCACTATGTTGCCCAGGCTGATCTCAAACTCCTGGACTCAAGCATTCCCCTCCCCCAGCCTCTCAAAGTGCTGGGATTACCAGTGTGAGCCACTGTGCCTGGCTCCCAAGTTGATTTGACTCCACTACACCCCACTGGACATCTGAAAGAAAAGAGGATCTGGGGAGCATGGCATATATGACTAAGTGGCAGTCGTCACTCCTGTCCACTGTATGGATGTGGTGTCCACAGGAAGGGAGGAAAGGGTGAGAGGAGAGCCATCTGTGAAAGGGGAAGGAGATGCTTTCATTGCCTGGAAGGAACAGGGGGTGGGGGTGGTTATGAGGATGCTGAGAACAGGAACACCAAACCTCAAAACAAAATGAGATCATCTCGTGTGTCCAGTGAGCCTGGCTACTGTGCCCTCCCTTTCTGATGGCTGTGAGGTTGCACCACCCATCCTTCTATTTTCTGCTGTGAGCAGCCTGCTTCCTGGCTTCCCTCTCGCCACAGACAGGGCTGCAAAAAACTCCGGGTGGGGTTTATAAAGAGCTGGAATGAGAGCAGCGCCTGCAGTTTAAATCCTGAGGCTCCAAAGGAAAGCTTGGAGGCTCCCAGTAGTGTTGGGAAGGCAGAGGAGATCTCCAGCAGAGAGGGCCCTCCCGGAGGTTCCGGCCACCCAGGTGGTGTACACAGTTAGGAAGCCAAAGAAAAGCCAAACGGCCAAGCTTACGTGGCCTCAAACACCTCACACACTCCCACCCGCGTTCCTGCTAGTGGCAGGTATTTTTAGAGTCCTGAGCTCATGGTGTTAAAGCATCTGCCACATGCCTGAGGGCTGGTGGGGATTCAGCCTTACTCAGTGGCAAGAGGCAAGAGTTAAGACTACTGAGGGGTGGGGGAGAGAAGGGGGGCCAGAAGTCACGTGGTAATGATATTCTGATATTCTCAGCTCCACCTGCTCTCTTCCCACTGACCTCCATTCCTCTTCCAGCCTGCTTCCCTTTCTTTCTGTTCAGAACCCACCAGAGAGGTGGAAGAAATACAAATCTTTTCCGTCTGTTTGAAGAAGCAAAGCAGGCTTTGAGAACTTGTGTTTTCTGTGTGCCCAAAGTTGGATGTTCTCTCTGAAATCGCCTTGAAAGATACCTAGGATGCCAGACTGCTGGGGTTTTGGTGGTTCGGGCCAGCACTGCCTTTTGGTAATGCTGCTGCTTCTGCTAATGGTGATGGTGATGAGTTGTCTGGTGCAGAGAAAGACTGCTTAGTTTTTGCTGGAGAGGTGCCAAGGGCACTGATGAGACAATTTGCAAACATAAATATATTCTGGCTGGGCGTAGTGGCTCATGCCTATAATCCCAACACTTTGGGAGGCCGAGGAGGGAGGATCAATTGAGGCAAGAAGTTCAAAACCAGCAACATATCAAGACCCCGTATCTACAAAAAAATTTTTTAATTATCCAGACATGGAAGTGTGTGTCTGTAGTCCTGGCTATTGGGAGGCTGAGGTGGGAGGATCACTTGAGCCCAGGAGTTTGAGGCTGCAGTGAGCTATGATTCTGCCACTGCACTCCAGCCTGGGAAGCAGAGCAAGAATCTGTCTCTTAAAAACAAAACAAAACAAACATAAATATATTCTAAATGTACAGACTCAAACTGCAGTAGGAATTCCTAAGAAAAGAGAATTAGCGAAGTTAGAGAAGGTTTCAGGAAGAAGGTGGTGGCATGAGCCGAACCTTGAAAAGTGGGTGAGATTTAGATAGGACGATGATGGGACAACCGACTCTATAGAAGAAGAAGGGCAAGCAGGACTGAAGGTACAGAGGAGAGAATGAACCAGGTGTCGTTGAGTTGCTTGATGTCAGGTTGGGAGGGGTCAAATTATGGTAGACAATTTTCCACTTGACACCACATGCAGTAAAAGGCTATTGTACTCTCCTGGATGGGAGGATGGCATGCGGAAACAAGCAGGGACGAGGAAGACTAGGCTGAAAGCAATATTCAGGAAGCACTGGAGTGGAAATGTTCAGAATCCAAATGTCTTTGCTATAGTCCAGGAGTTGAGGAGAGGCGAGTCTGGCCATGCCAAAGAGCTTGGAGGTCATTGTTGATAGACAAGACGAAGGGGAGCCTGGACAATGAAAACTGATGTTCAAAATAATGACTCTGGGGCCCTGTAAGATCTTCATTCAGCCAAGAGATTCAATTATATTTACTAGATTATACTTACTGACTGCTAACTTGAAATAAAGGCTATACTTCGTTTTAAGAGCCATCGTAGTCAATTAGTGGCCATAATCAAATTTTCTTTGATAACTGAGAATTGTATAGGGCCTTGGGACCGTCATTCTGAGCATGAATTTCCCTTGTCCAAGATGTTGGATGTATAAAGGGAAATAGATTGGACTGATGTGTGTCCACTCCAGAGAGTCCCCTAGGAGCTGTGGCTTTGCATATGTTACTGATATCAGCTTTTTTCTTTATAACTTGACCTTCATTCCAATAGCTGAGATACAGAAGAAAAATCCAGTGGGGTAAATTACCTTTCACATAGCAAAAAAGTGAACTTAAAAATCAATTGAGCTAGAAGATGCTATTTTAACATTGACTTTGTTTTCTTCAAACAACGAAAAATACCCCAAAGCAAAGTAATGCATGCTTGCAGTAGAAAATTTGGAAAAAATACAAAAGAAGAAAATAAATATCACCTATAGTCCCATTGCTTATAGATAACCATTAATGTTCTGATGTTTACATTTCTAGTCTTTGCTTTGCATGTCTATGTTTAATGTTTTTTAAAAATTAGAACTATAGCATATGAAAAATTTTATATTCTGCTTTTCTCACATACTTGTATTTTGCGAGCATTTCCTTCACCATTTAGTCTTTTTTTTTTTTTTTTTTAATTTTTTGAGTTGAGGTCTTACTGTCACCAGGCTGGAGTGCAGTGACATGTTCACGGCTCACCATAACCTTGACCTCCTAGGTGCAGGTGATCCTTCCACCTCAGCCTCCCAAGTAGCTGGAACTACAGGCATGGGCCGCTAATTTTTTTATTTTTGTAGATATGAGGTTGCTTCAGGTGGTCTCGAACTCCTGGACTCAAGCAATCCTCTCCCCTTGGCCTCCCAAAGTGCTTAGATTACAGGTATAAGTCACTATGTCCAGCCCCATTCGGTCTTTGAAAACATTATTATTATTACCATCATTATTATTTGAGTCAGAGTCTCATTCTGTCGCCCAGGCAGGAGTGCAGTGGCATACTCATGGCTACTGCAGCAGCCTTGACCTCCTGGGCTCAGGCAGTTCTTCCACCTCAGCCTCCTGAGTAGCTAGAACTACAGGCACACGCAACCATGCCCAGTTATATGTTTGATCTTTATTGTAGAGACAAGACCTCGCCATGTTGCACAGGCTAGTCTTGGACCCCTGGGCTCAGGCAGTCTTGTCGCCTTGGCCTCCCAAAGTGCTAGGATTACAGGCATGAGTCACCACACCTGGCTGAAAACTTTATTTTTAATGGCTACATAGTAGCCCGTTGTATAGATATGTACTTTAGCTATTCCTGTCCTGTAGGCTGTTTCCTGTTTTAAAGTCTAAATAATACTGCAATGAAGATCTCTGTACAGAATTTTGAGCACATCTCTATTTATTTTGTATAGATTTCTGGAAGCGAGATTGCAGGCTGTAAGAGTTGTAAACATTATTAAAGTTCTTATTAATATTGCCAAATTGCCCTCCAGAAAAGTTGATGAATTTACATCCCAGTTTTTCAACCAAAAAAACCTTAAAATTTTCCAACTCCACAGTTTCAGTGAACAATCTTTTTTTTTTTTTTTGAGTTGGTGTCTCACTCTGTCACCCAGGCTGGAGTGTAGTAGCACACTCATGACCACCACAGCCTCGATCTGCTGGGCACAGGCGATCCTTCCACTTCAGCCTTCCAAGTAGCTGGAACCACAGGCGTGCACCCTCATGCCCAACTAACTTTTCTTGATTTAGTGTAGAGGCGAGGTCTCGCCAAGTTGCCCAGGCTGTTCTCGAACCCGTAGGCTCAGGCAATCCTCTCACCTTGGCCTCCCAAAGTGCTGGGATTATAGGCGTGAGCCACCACACCCGGCCCTCAGTGAACAATCTTAAGAAAAACTTGGCAAACCCTGAAACTTCTCTTTATGCTTTGATAAGTTCACTCTGCTAATCTGTTAAAGAACCACTTCCTGTGTCAGGGCTTGGAACCTCATTTTCAGAATGCTACAGAACTGTATTTTCACCTACCTGTTTATGTTTCCTTCTCTGACTCCACATGTGGGTTTTTGTATCTTCCAGGTTCAGGTGTGGGACACAGCTGGTCAGGAACGCTTCCGCAAAAGCATGGTTGAGCATTACTACCGCAATGTGCATGCAGTGGTCTTCGTTTATGACGTCACCAAGATGACATCCTTCAACAACCTCAAAATGTGGATCCAAGAATGCAACGGGCATGCTGTGCCCCCACTAGTCCCCAAAGTGCTTGTGGGCAACAAGTGTGACTTGAGGGAACAGATCCAGGTGCCCTCCAACTTAGCCCTAAAATTTGCTGATGCCCACAACATGCTCCTGTTTGAGACATCAGCCAAGGACCCCAAAGAGAGCCAGAACGTGGAGTCAATTTTCATGTGCCTGGCTTGCCGATTGAAGGCCCAGAAATCCCTGCTGTATCGTGATGCTGAGAGGCAACAGGGGAAGGTGCAGAAACTGGAGTTTCCACAGGAAACTAACAGTAAAACTTCCTGTCCTTGTTGAAACCAAATGGTGTAAATACAAGATAGATTATCACTGGAGTTTTTTCTTTCCCTTTTTCCGTGCCTGCGCAATGCTGACACCTGCTTGTTTCCATACAAATTGATATCAAAATAAAATTTGTATAGATTATCACATTGATTTTTGTCTTGCTTTCCTACTAGAAGACATCTCTGATGGCCACGAGGCAGCTTGGTCAGGTGTGGTAACTCATGCCTGTAATCCCAGCACTTTGGGAGGCCAAGGTGGGAGAATTGCTTGAGCCCAGGAGTTTGAGACCATCCTGAGCAACATAACGAGACCTTGTCTATATAATTGAACAGCTCGCACTACTAGAGTGTTATACCCATGTCAAGGCACACTATCAGCTTTCTATGAACCCTCGCCATTTGAGTCATTTCTTCAGGATTCATTCATTCTCTCACTCAGTGTTGTCAGTGGGCAGAAGCACCCAATGGGGATGGGACACAGGCCAGATGTGTTTTCTAGAGAGTCAACATGGGCAGAAGGATGGAGAAGTCTTGGAAGGGGATGTGAACTCTTCAGTATTTCCCGGGCTCCCTAGTGTGGGCCTTGGATGTTGAGAGAAGCTGCTCTCTTCCAATTTTCCAAAGTTTAAAAATAAAAGTATCGGTTGCCCAACGGGCCCAGCTGCTTTTAGAATACTTAAAGCATTTTGTACCAAGCAGTCTTGGATGGCAAGAGCTTCTCTCCTTCCCTAGCCCTGCCCTTTCTTGGACAGGGCAGAGTTCAAGCTAACGAGTATCTATGAGGGGGACCCCCCAAAAACCCAAAATGTATTTATAAACAATTGTGTATTTATTCTTATGTGTTTAAACCTCAGTCACCTTTAAAGTATTCTACGTTTTTTGTTTCACCTCTTCCACATCGGCAAAACATTTCCCTTTGAGGACTTCTTTTCATCTGGGGAACAATAAAAAGTTACTTGAGGAGGGATTGGGTGAATAGTGAGGGTGGGGCGTGGGGTCATGTCGTTTGTGGTCAGAAACTGCTGAACACTCAGCATGGTATGGGCAGGTGCATTGTCATAGTGGAAGAACCAGTCACCTGTTTGCCACAGTTCGGGATATTTCTTCTGCAAATCATCTCTCACAAGAATGCTAGCTGGTACACTGATGCCAATGGGTTCCTAGAACACTTACCTAGTGGGGAAAGCCTGTACTACAAAGGGCCTGTCCCCCAAAAGATAATTCTGGGTTTTGGGGGTCCACTATTGTATTATATCCCCAGACCTTTGCTGGGTACTATGGAAGAAATGTAACAAGAGGACACATTCCCTATGTTCAAAGATCCTATGATCGAGTTGCAGGAATAACGTACACCTTGAAACCACTTGCAAACAAACATTAGACAACAACATCTCTGAGTGCAAGGTTGTGCCATGGGAATTGAGAGCGTTAGGTACTAAATATCACAGTGTGTTCACAGACAATTGGATTTATTTTGTATGTTGAATAAAATGTAAGATTTGAATTGGTAAAGAGGGGAGTGGACAAAAGTAGAGGGGCAGGAATGCTCTTGGGAGTGGGAGAGGAGATCAGCTGGGAGTCTGGCCCAAGGAGAGCTGGAGGAGTTGAGGTTGAGGAGGGTCAGAGCTTCAGAAAGAGTAGTTTGTACTTGTTTTTGTTTTTAAAGTAAAAGGGTGCCACTTTGACACCCAGACTGGAGTGCAGTGGCATGATCAGAACTCACCGTAGCCTCAAACTTCTGGGCTCAAGTGATCCTCCCACCTCAGCCTCCCAAAGGAGGCCATGAGATTACAGCCATGCCTAGCCTTGTAGTTGCTTTTTGAGCCAATGGGAGCTTCTGGTGTTTCTCCAGCAGGAGAGTCCTATAGTTATTTCTTATACATCTGGTTCTATTGATGTGAAAGCCCCCTGTCCAGTTATTAAAGTAACTAAGCTAAGCGTGGTGGCTCACACCTGTAATCCCAGCACTTTGGGAGGCCAAGATGACAGGATTGCTTGAGCCCAGGAGTTCGAGACCAGCCTGGGCAACTTAGTGACACCTCGTCTCTCCAAGATAATCAAAAAATTAGCCGGGTGTGGTAGTACATGACTGTAGTTCCAGCTACTTGGGAGGCTGAGACGGGAGAATCTTCCAAGTCCATGAGGTTTAGGCTGCAGTGAGCCGTGATCATGCCGTTGCACTCCAGCCTGGGCAGCAGAGTAAGACCTGAACTCAAAAAATAAATAAATAGAGTAACTAACAGTGGCTTGTAAAGGCCTTTCTGCAATAGCCCCAGATAGATTTCTTTGCTTGGGGGTGATGCTTCTTTTGGGGACTCTCTTGATGGAATCCCACTGTGAGAGGGTCCCGGGAAGACAGCTCCTGAGTACCTTCCCCTCTTAGGCGTATGCAGCTCTGCTCCCAAACAGCAAAGGGTAACACACACCAGCTGTGCTTCCCACCCAAACAAAGGACCTGTCTGGTCCTGCCTGGTTCACCCCTTCAGCTCTCTCCACCCCATCCCATCCCCACTTGTCCTCAGGCTCAGCCCAGTCCCCCGCCTGGTCCTCGTCACTTGGCTTCTGTCTGGATCCCTGCATGTGGTTTCAGAACTGGTTTTCTTATCAGTTGTCCCCACCTGACACCCAGCCCCTGAATCTCACCCAAGGGACAGGGGCCTTGTTGTCTGTGGACAAACTGTCCGCTGAAACCCTGGTTGCTATGCTTCTCCCCGATGGGTATCCCACAACTCCTTGCTCGGGACACAGTCAGCTGTGGTAGTGCGTTTTGGCTCCTGTGACCCGGCTGCAGGCCTGGGCCACTGATCTCAGTGACTCCAGGTACACTTGTCTGTCCTAATGGGTGCACTTCGGTTCGGATCCTGAACCTTTTTGGTCAGGGCCTCTTTCTGCTGTAACAGGGCCAAAATGACAATGTTCCAAGTGTTAGGAGTCTTCTAACAAGGACTGCCTCTTCTCAGATCTGGATTGCTTCTGACACTTTTCAGACACTAAATACACTTATTGAGCACCTGCTGTGTGCCACTGTTTTAAATCCTGGCTATACACATGAACAAATGTAAACAAATAAAATGCTGCGTTCTCTCTCTCTCTCTCTCTCTCTCTCTCTCTCTCTCTCTCTCTCTCTCTGTCTCTCTCTCTGTGTGTGTGTGTGTGTGTGTGTGTGTCTCTGTCTCTCTCTCTCCCTCTCTCTCGATGAGATCTCGCTGTGTTGCCCAAGCTGGTCTCAAACTCCTGAGCAAGCAATCCTCTCACCTCAGCCTCCCAAAGTGTTGAGATTACAGGCATAAGCCACTGCACCTGGTCAAAATCCTGCTCTCTTAAAGGAGACAGACACTAAATAAGAAATGAAGTACACAAATGAGCTAATTTGAGAAAATGATAAGGACTCCGAGAGCCACAAAACAGGGTCAATGACTAGGAAGTGAGGAGGAGGGGGAGGGCAACATACTTTCTGGAGTTCACCAAAGGTATCTTGGAAAAAACCCCGTTTGTGCTGAGAACTGAATGAAAAAAGTAACCAGCTGTGAGATCAGGGAGAAGAGAACCCCAAGCAGAGGAAACAGCAAGTGCCAAGATCCTGAGGCAGGGGTGAAGTTGGCATGTTTGAGGAACAGGAAGGATTCTAGTATGGCTGAAATAGAGTGAGCCAGGGAGAGAGTGGTGGGAAATGAGGTGGAGAAGCAGGTAACACCAGATCTACCGGGGTCTCGTGGGCCATGACTGGCAGCTTAGTTTTTATTTAAGGGCAGTGGTAAACCAGTGGCTTTTTGCACCATCTAAAAATCTTGGAAAGATTTACCAGGCTTGTTGACCTTCGAGAAGGAAAAGCTTCCACATTGTCTTAGCTCCTCTGAGACAGATAGATATCCCTTCCTGGGTGACTGACTCCTGAACATGGGCCTCAGAGCTGCCACTTCCGAGCTGGCTGGTCCCCACCTTCAAAACTAGACTCTGGAAACTTCCGCTAGACTGTCACCTTTCGGTCTTGCCAAGGCTCTGGGAGTTTTGCTGCAAATAGCAGGCACTCACCAATCCTACCTGCTTCTATCCTCTGTGCCTTACCTGCCCAATGCTGTCCCTTCCCACAGGATGAGATTGTTCTCTCTCAATCACCCGGGAGCTGTCAAAAAGTCCTGGGGTCCCCCACTGTGGTCTCAGGAATCCTGAGCACTTCTAGGCTCCACTCAGATCTTCTTTCAAATCCCTTATTGGGGGTCTCCAATTCTCGTCCCAGGGGTTGGGATGCAGGGGAAGATGGGATCCCAATACGGAGTCAGAACTTTTTTTTTTTTTTTTTTTTGAGTTGAGGTCTCACACTGTCACCCAGTCTGGAGTGCAGTGGCACGATTACGGCTCACTGCAGCCTCAAACTCCTTGGCTCAGGCGATCCTTCCACCTCAATCTCCCAAGTAGCTGGGACTACAGGTGCACATTACCCCATCCAGCTATTTTTTAAAAATTTTGTAGAGATATAGTCTCACTGTGTTGCACAGGCTAGTCTCGAACTCCTGGGCTCAGGCAATCCTCCCCCCTTGGCCTCTCAAAGTTCTGGGATTACATGTGTGAGCCACAGTGCCTAGCCTAGCCAGGAAATGTTAATAGGACCCTAGCAGTGTTGGTAAGATCTGTTTTGCAGCCTCAGAAGCTACTGCTGGAGGGACTTGGGGATGGGATGGACCCAGAGTATACCCAGTGGAAGGGAGCCCAGGAGGTTAGAGAGATCCTTAGACCCTTGTTTCTGTGAAGGTGGTGAGAAGCAGAGGGATTCAAAGGAAGCCGAGTGCTTCCTGGCTTGTCATTCGGCCTCACTGTGTCTCTAGAACTATCCATGTTGGTCACTGACTCTCTTCTGCAGCCCCTCTTCACTCTCCAGGCCTGTGCCCTTGGGTCTTGCCTGTGCTACAGAGACAGAACCTAGGGAAACAACTACTAACGTTTGAATGCTTATTATGTATGCACCAGACATCATGCCAAAATGCTTTGCATTAATTTATTGTCTCATTTAATGATGCTTCAACCCTTTGGGTGTAGGGATAATAATTTTCATTTTACAGACAAGAACCTGGATGCACTAACAGTCTTAGTGACTTGTCCAAGGTAGTAAGTAATGAAACCAAGTCTAGGCACTTCCTAGGATATTTT